TAGGGCTGCACAATTAATTGAATTTCTAATCGCGATTACAATTACGGATGCCACAATTACGTAATCGTTCAAAGCGACAATTAATCGTTCAAAGTCCACTTATGTTATTCTATGTGCTTAAGATGCGTTTTTTTCTTTCTACATGTTATCTTAAGAGTTTTTCCCCATTATTTTAATTTTAGTTTTAGTATAACATTATAATACCATTCATTTTATTTTTTTATAATTTAAAGAAGAAACCAATCCGATGTATATTTGACATTTGAGGCTTAATATTATAGAAAAGCACTAAAGGTTTTTCAGTCAGAGTGTTTTCAGCTTGTTTATTTTCATATAAAAATACGGCATGCAGTTGCATCAAACAATGGTATAAACATCATTCAATATAAATATTGATAATCATAATTAATAATCGTAATTACAATTTCAAGGGAATAATCGACAATTATGATTTTTGTCATAATCGTGCAGCCCTATTATGCTCACACTCCTTTCAAACTCTGGACACAAAATGCTGCTCCTGCAGTTTACAGGCTGGTTTTTACCTGGTTAGCCTATCTAGAGTAGTAGCCTGTCAAAATCCCACATGATCTCTCTCATCAGGAGCTAGTTCTAGTTACCACTGTCTCGGGTTCAGCACTCATACACTATGCATGGACATATCACATCTCTCCTGCCCATGCATCTTCAGGCTTCCACCAAACCAGACTCTTTTGAGTTACTTTTGTGGCCTCTCTGTTTCTGTCATCCAAATGTCAATAATGAGTTTGTAGGCTTTTTCTTTTAAAGACATCTTGATATCGGAATCGGTGTGTCCTTCCTGCAAACTCCTAGATGTGATTCAGCTGCACTTTACGGTAAGTGTGCAGTATTTCATCAGACTTTGCATACGAGTCTTTCGTTTACATTGTAACTTAATGACAATGGCTTTCAGATTCGGCTTAACTGTTGTGGTGTTTGGTGTATTAATGAAAGTATTAAACATAATGTGAAATGCAACAGAATAAAAAGTTAATTCACTGTTTTTGTGGAATTAAGGATGTTTCAGTAAGAGGGTACGGTTAAGAAAGTTTCTTTTACCTAAAAATATCTTCCAATGAGAATATTTTAATATACAGTATAATTACTGTTTAAGGGTAAAAAAAACACCAGCAGTAAAAACTGTTGGTTTGTCCGCACAGAATCCAGTATTGTTTTGATTGCATAAAATGGGTTAGCTTTAAGCGTACATAGGTGCATGTGTAGTCTTCATGCTCTAATAATAATAACCTATTTCTTTCTTTTTCTTGCTCATTTCCAAGTTTCAGCATGTTTATTTAAAGGTAATCTATCAGTCGTAGATGTACTTGTCTATTTAGATGATTATACTGCTTATGCAAATTAATCCAGTGTTAATTAAATTCTTCATGTATCTGCTAATTATTGATGGGTTAGGGTAATAAACTTTATTTAATTTATGAAGGCAAATTACTTTTGGATTTCTGGCGGATTGAAATAGAATAAAACAACAGAATATTATAAATACGTTACTGTTATATTTACAGTAAATTGAGATTTTTTTTTTTGTACTTTTATTTTTGATTTTCATGTTCAAAAGATTCATATACCCAGAGGATAAATCAAATTCATAACAATGAAGCGTAGCAAGCATCGAGCCTCCAAGGATGATGGCAAAGGTCAAGGTGAAAGATTCTATTAATTCTGTGAAAATTTGTAAATTATTGTGAATTCTTTAACATTAATTATTATATATGAATGATTAATACATTTAAATAATTATGTAATATTACATCATATATAATACTTATATAATAATCTAAAATAATATAAAAAAAAAACTGTAGTGATGTCCATAATGACATCATATTTCATATGTGACTTGTGAAGATGAGCCGGCCATCCTGGAGACGGAGGACATGAGGATGCCAGACCCGGACACCATCTCACTCGCATCAGTCACTGCCGTCACAACCAATGTCTCCAATAAGAGGTGACCAGAAATTATAAAGTCACATGAACCCAAATCCAATTTGATATTCTGCATTGCATTTATGTTGTGTTAAATAATAAATGTTCCAACAAACATATATGACTGTATTCTAATAGAGAGTTGATCAACTATTGATCAACTATTTATACTTTTTTTTTCATCCAAAAATTTCCTAAATGTTTTAGATCAAAGCCTGACATCAAGATCGAGCCTAGTGCTGGAAGACCAGTGGATTTCCAAGTACGTAGAACAGCATATTGCAATTTTTAACAGAAAGAGGTTTTTTTTGTAAAGAAAACAGAACATGCACATATGTGACCCTGGAGCACAAAAGCAGTCTTAAGTCGCTGGGGTATATTTGTAGCAATAGCCAACAATACATTGTATGGGTCAAAATTATACATTTTTCTTTTATGCCAAAGATCATTAGGATATTAAGTAAAGATCATGTTCCATGAAGATATTTTGTAAATTTCCTTCTGTAAATATATTAAAGCTTAAGTTGTGATTAGTAATATGCATTGCTAAGAACTTCATTTGGACAACTTTAATGCTACTTTCATCTAAAAAAATGCTGGGTTAAATACAATCCAGCACTGGGTGAAAATATGGACAAACCCAGCAACTGGGTTGTTTTGACCCAGCGGGTGGGTTAAATGTTTAACCCAACCTTCTGGGTAGTAACCCAACCACTGGGTCAAAACAACCCAGTTGCTGGGTTTGTCCATATTTCACCAGTGCTGGGTTGTATTTAACCCAGCATTTTTTAGAGTGTGATTTTTTTGCACCCTCAGATTCCAGATTTTCAAATAGTTGTATCTTGGCCAGATATTGTCCGATCCTAACAAACCATACATCAATGGAAAGTTTATTTATTCGGACAACCCAGCGCTGGGTGAAATATGGACAAACCCAGCAACTGAGTTGTTTTGACCTAGCGGGTGGGTTAAATGTTTAACCCAACCTTCTGGGTAGTAACCCAACCACTGGGTCAAAACAACCCAGTTGCTGGGTTTGTCCATATTTCACCAGTGCTGGGTTGTATTTAACCCAGCATTTTTTAGAGTGTGATTTTTTTGCACCCTCAGATTCCAGATTTTCAAATAGTTGTATCTTGGCCAGATATTGTCCGATCCTAACAAACCATACATCAATGGAAAGCTTATTTATTCGGCTTCCAGATGATGTATAAATCTCAATTTCGGAGAATTGAACTTTATGACTGGTTTTGTGCTCCAGGGTCACATATTTCAAGCTACACATTTCACGCAAAGTTTGTTAAAACAATAGATGTAGTGTAGAAAATGAAGACAGTCAGTATTGTGTTTGTGGTTGGTGGAACATTTTGATAGTTAAAGTGAAGAACTACGCCTGTGGAGCTTCTGCTTACACCGGTGGGAACTTCATGCACTGTACAACATTAAAAATCACAAAACATCTGCTGATTCAAAAACATTGAGCTTAAAGAAAAGTGATATTAGTGAAGAGATAAGATCTTACAGCATTTGAGGCATGCAGATAAATTAATCCTATAGTTTTGTATCATGCAAACATTTTTGTGCCAATTTTGAGCCTGTGAAATATTGATACCATCCACATACAGTACCACATACCACATTTGTAAATGTGTGTCATGCCCCACTTTCCAGGTCAGTGTCACTGTTATAGAGGCCAGACAGCTGGTGGGTCTGAACATGGATCCAGTGGTGTGTGTAGAAATCGGTGATGACAAAAAATACACCTCAATGAAGGAGTCGACCAACTGCCCTTACTACAATGAGGTATGTTCCTTTTTAATTTAGGATTGTAATATTGTCCTTTTGCAAAGTAATGATCATGACAAATAACTACTCAAAATAATCACATAATCATCTTAAAGGAGTAGTTCACCCAAAGCTGAAAGTTTGCTGAAGATGTGCTCACTCTCCAAGATTAGGATGAGTTTGTTTCTTCATCAGATTTGGAGAAATGTAGTATTGCATCAGTGTCTCAGCAATGGATGCTCTGCAGTGAATGGGTGCCGTCAGAATGAGAGTCCAAACAGCTGATAAAAACATCACAATAATCCACAAGTAATCCACACCACTCCAGTCCATCAGTTCACATCTGGAGAAGACAAAAGCTGCATGTTTGTAATAAAAAAAAAAAAATGCATCAAGAGGTTTTTAACTTCAAACCATTGTTTCTGCCTAAATTACAAGTCCATAGCCCATAATAACATTTCCTCCAGTAACAAAGTTGTCTTGTCTGAATCAGGAGAGAAATCTGCACAGATCAAGCACTGTTTACTCCCTGGAGGAAGTATTATGGATTAGTATTTTTTTTAACCAGAATGGACTGTTAAAAGTTAAAACACCTTAATGATGGATTTGTTTCTTACAAACATGCAGCTTTTGTCTTCTCCAGATGTTAACTGATGGACTGGAGTGCTGTGGATTATTGTGATGTTTTTATCAGCTGTTTGGACTCTCATTCTGACGGCACCCATTCACTGCAGAGCATCCATTGCTGAGACACTGATGCAATGCTACATTTCTACAAACCTGATGAAGAAACAAACTCATCCTAATCTTGGATGATCTGAGGGTGAAGACACTTTCAGAAATGTCTCACTTTCGAGTGAACTACTCATTTAACACTGCTAATATAATGTTTTGATAAAATCTTTCCTTTTTTTCAGTACTTCGTTTTTGACTTCCACGTTCCTCCTGATGTCATGTTTGACAGGATCCTGAAAGTGTCTGTAAGTAGCAACAAAAATCAATTTTGAATAGTTAAATCCTGCACTTTTTTCATAAAAGATTGTGTTTTTTGTGTGTGTTTGTGTTTTAAACTTGTTTTAAATGAATGTGTCTATACAGGTTATCCACTCTAAGAATCTTTTGCGAAGTGGCACGCTGGTCGGGAGCTTCAAGCTTGATGTGGGCACAGTTTATACACAACCTGGTAACTGGTATTATCATGCTTCTCTTATGTTAAAAATAAGGTGGATAAAGTTCTCACTATCTAGACCATAGATCTCAAAGACCAGAGTTTTTTCATGTTTTTTTTTTCTTTACATTTACAGAACATCAGTTCTTCCACAAATGGGCCACTTTATGTGACCCCGATGATATCACTGCTGGATGCAAAGGCTATGTCAAGTGTGACATCGCAGTTGTGGCAAAGGGCGACACTATCAAAACTCTACACAAGACAAATGAAACAGACGAGGATGACATTGAGGGGTAAAAAAAAAATTAAAAAAAAATCTTCCTACATTGTTAATGTTATTTTCCAAGAAAAGCATCACTGTTACTAAACCATACTCCAAACTCAAGTATTCCCAACTTATTTTGAAAGCCCTGTGAAACAAATATTTACTTGTAATAGTATTTAATCAAAATGTGAAATCCGAGATTCGAGTTTATTATTTTACCTGTCACACATTATAAATGCTGAGGTCACTCGGATAATTCCATCCAACGATGTATTGAATATTTAAAGGTGATTCTATATGCAGAAACACAAATCTCTTCTTCATTGATTACTTTCTTGTTCCAGTAATCTTCTGTTGCCGGAAGACGTCCCGGCTGAGCGTCAATGGGCAAGATACTATGTGAAAATCTACCGAGCCGAGGGGTTGCCTAAAATGAACACCAGCATAATGGCAAATGTCAAAAAAGCTTTCATTGGAGAAAATAAGGACTTGGTTGATCCGTATGTCCAAGTGCAATTTGCAGGGCAGAAGGTGGGCAGAATTCTTACTGATGGTCAACTAATTTGTTTTAATGGTGTACAGAGTGACCAATATAATGCCTATATATGAAAATATAATATAGTTTAATGATGGAAAGTAAGTTTCATCATTAAACAAAACACATTTTACACAATATTCAAAATTTACAAAATAAAATTTTAAAATGCACTATGAAACTGAAGAGTCCGGAAGACTTCCGTCCTGTTAAAGACTCCATGAAATGACTGGCGAACACAGTTTTCCTTCCTGTGTTAATGTATTTCCTGTTGAAACAGGAAGTTTGAGTGGGACATATTGAAGACGTTTTATTTTATATCACTATTTTCTGCTTGCTAGTCAGATTTTTACTAGAATTTATTGCAATGCATTTGAACTATTTGCAAATCACATTTTTATTTTAAGACATACATTCACTCTAAGTAATGCCTATCTGCCAAAAAAAAATTGTATTGTCTCTTAATATTCAATTATGAATTAGATAAATCACTAAATTATATATTTTCCATTCAAAATGGCAATTGTTGAGTAGTTTGCAGCACTGGATTGCTGTTGGTTGTTTAACATTCATTTTGAAAAACAGTTGTCATACATTAAAGGGATAGTTCACCCAAAAATGAAAATGTGATGTTTATCTGCTTACCCCCAGGGCATCCAAGATGCAGGTGACTTTGTTTCTTCAGTAGAACACAAACGAAGATTTTTAACTCAAACCACTGCAGTCTATCAGTCTTATAATGACAGTCAATGGGCTCCATGGTTTCGAGAGTAAAAAAAACATACACAGACAAAACCAAATTAAACCCTGCGGCTCGCGCCGATACATTGAGGTCTTAAGACATGAAACGATCGGACTGTGCAAGAAACTGAACAGTATTTATATCATTTTTTACCTCTGATCCACCGCAATGTCTGAGCATGTTCACAACATCTGGTGCGTGACATGTGTATGTGCTCTGGCATAGTAGACATAGATATATATATATAAGTAGATGCCTCATTAGTGACTGTTTCTATGGGCTGCGATACGTTCCAAAATGGCGGACGCGTCAACTGCGTGACGTGTGTATGTGCTCTGGCATAGTAGACATAGATATATATATATAAGTAGATGCCTCATTAGTGACTGTTTCTATGGGCTGCGATACGTTCCAAAATGGCGGACGCGTCAACATATCTGAAGCGGTCGAATAGGGAATCTATACATATCTATAGTAGTAGAGGCATGTGCGGAAGCGATCTGTCGCGAGTATACGTCACTCATTATTTACACAGTGCAGAGACATTGTAGGTACGACGGCTAATCAAAATGGTACTTACTTGCGCTTA